AGAAAAACAATCAAAAGAAGTAAGCAATCCAGTAGAGTTCGTAAATACTATATAATTACACAGTTAGCAGTATAGTACAGTGGTTAATTATTTCCACTCTGGAGTCAGACAGATTTGGATTTGAATCTCTCTTTTTAAAAAATTGAGCTACAATTCACACACCAATATATTCACCATTTTAAGGTGTTTAATTCAATGATTTTTAGTATATTAAAAATGTGCAACCATCACCACTATATAATTAATTACAGAACATTTTCCTCATCCCAGAAAGAAATTGTACCTGTTATCATTCCCCCTCCCCCTTTCCTGACCCTTAACAACCACTAATCCACTTTCTATTCCTGTGGGTTTACCTATTCTGGTCATTTCACATCAACGGAATCATACAATACACATGGCCTTTGTGTCTGGCTTCTTTCACTCTGAATAATGTTTCCAAGGGTCATCCATGTTGTAGCAAGTATCAGTACTTCATTCCTTTCGCAGTCAAATAATATTCTATTATATGTATAACCATATTTTCTTTATATGTTCATCTCTTAATGGACTTTTGGGTTTTTTTCTTTTTGGCTACCATGAATACTGCTACTGTGTACATTTTGTGTACAAATTTTTCAATGAGTACATTACATTTCCAATTCTTTTAGGTATATTCCTTGGAGTGTAATTTCTGGGTCTTATGATAACTGTTTAACATTTTGAGGAACTGCTGAACTATTTTCCAAAGTAGCTGCACCATTTTACATCCCAACCAGCAATGTATAATGTCTCTAATTTCTTCACATTCTGACTGACACTTGCTATTTTATGATTTTGGCTTGTTTGTTGACAGCCTTCTTGGCATATGTGAAGTAGTATTACAGTGTGGCATTGATTTGCATTTCTCTAATGGCTAATGATGTTGCGCATGTCTTTATGTGTGTTTTGGCTATTTGTATTTCATCTTTGAAGAAATGTGTATCAAACCCTTTGCCTATTTTTAAATTGGGCCATTTGTCTTTTTATTGTTGAGTTATAAGTTTTCTGTGTTTCTAAGATGCCAGATTCCTATCAGATATGATTTGCAAATATTTTCTTCTATTCTGTGAGTTGTCTTTTCACTATGTTGATGGCTCGGTTGGCTGCCCTAGAGTTTTAAATTCATTTATATTTTATTTGGTTGTTTGTGCTTTTGGTATCATTTAAGAAGCTGTTGTGGGCTGGGGTTGTGGCTCAGAGGTAGATCACTCTCCTGGCATGTGTAAGGCCCTGGGTTTGATCCTCAGCACCACATAAAAAATAAATAAAATAAAGATATTTTTAAAAAGCTGTTACCTAATCTAAGTTCATGAAAATGTATACTTTCCTTCCAAAAATTTTATTGTTTTATTGTTTCAGCCTTTACTTTTCCATTTTTTAATTAATTTTATATATGTTATGAGGTAGGGCTCCAGCTTCATCCTTTTGCTTGTGGAGATCCAATTGTCCGAGGACACATTTGTTGAGAAGATTCTTCTTTGTGTATTGAATGACCTTGAACCTCTTATTAAAAATAAGTTGGCCATAAATATATAGGTTTATTTCTGGAGTTTTCTCCATAAGTTTGAATATTAGCATTACTATTTGCAAACAAGTATGACCTTGGACAAATTATTTTCTTGTAATAATATTACCACCTTTTAGAAAATTGAGGAAGCTAATTGAGATAATGTATGTAAAAGTTTTTTGATATTCATGGAGGTATAGAAAAATAGAACAGTTAGGAGGATGCTGAATCACTAAGAGTAACCACAACCTCATAAATGAGAGTTTATGCATATAAATAAATGTTTGAAGAAGTTAATAAAAGTATCCAGTTCCCCACCATTGGCTAAAGTAAATACTATATGATAATAAAATAGAACAGAATAGAAAAATTACTTACAATAAGCAACAGATTGTAACCATTTTACATTGTTCTTCATAGAGCTGAAATCAGTTAAGTTTGGTTACTTTGAGCCCTGTGCTGCTTGAGTTTTCTGTCAAGGACTCTTAAGAATCCTTTGAAAGTTATGGACAAGGGGCTGGGGATGTGGTACAGTGGTAAAGTGCCTTTGGGTTCAAACTCCAGTATGAAAAAAAAAAAGAACAAGTATTTTTGACCTTACTCAAGGTAATCCTGACCCATTGCACATTTTCCCATGCTCAGTTTCATAGTGAGTTTCAATGGTCACGCCGATTTGGGAACACATTTTAGGGCTTCAGCAAAATAGGAGAACTTTCCCTCTGTGTAGAATAACTCTTCTAAGACAGGAAAACTGTGGCACTCTGGTAGATTTTATATAGGTTTCGGCCATAAATGTGCTTTCCCCAATGCTTCTGATCAACCCAGGTAGCTTCTAACACAGACGCTGAGGAATGCAGACATGCAGCCCTGGAAGATAGTAGTAGAAGTGTAGTGTGAAGTGGAGATGGCCCTAGAGCAAAGAGATATGATTCTGGAAGTGATCAGAATGAAGGAGACAGATTTGGAGGGACAGAGAGTCAAAAATAGAAGTAGAAACATGCTCTTTAGAATACTCTTATAAATAGTCAAGATAAAATACAGTGAAGGAAGTGAGATGATTGAAATTAAAGTGTAAAGAGCACAGGTATTGGCATTAGATTGACCTGTGACTGAGTATTATGTTCCCAATTGATTTACTTAATAACCCTGAGTCCCACTTTCCTAACTATATGATGAAAATAATAATAATACCTTCCTCACAGGTATTGTGAAAGAATTCAATGAAATAATGTGTGTAAAGTGCTTAACATTGTACTCAGAATACAGGAGGTACTCAATAAATGCTAAATCCCTTCTTACTGCTACTTTAAGGAATACTTTATTAACAACTATTGAATACCTAGTTTGTGGAGGTGTCATGCTGTGAATAAAAATATGAAATCATTGATGTCCTGAAAGAGCAGAGAGAGTTCACTAGAGATACAGATATGTAAATGAAATGAAACAGAATGTTCTGGACGTCACCAGTAGTTGAAGTTATAAATGTAAATGAGAGAACTCCTAGGTTTATAGGCTTGATATTTACCAGGCAGAGATAATTGGAAAAGGAGCTGATATTTTTTTCAAGGATAGTGGGGGAACACAAGTTCATTTATGGACATGTTGAATTTGAGCATCTAAATGAAATAAGGTGGAGCTATCTTAGCAATATTTCTGCCTTGAGCGGAAATTGGAATCTTTCTTTTCTGAAACCTTTTCCAATTCTAAGATTCTGATATATATGTGCATATTTTAATTTTTCATCTCTATAAATGCACGCTAATAGGTTTTATAAGCTATAAAATACTGACCAACAATTTTCAAGTACTTACAGATTGTAAAATAAAAATACATGTCTCAGGTTTTAGTTTTCAGTTTTCTTTAGCACACATGTGCTAGGCATGCACTCTAATACTGAGCTACATCCCTAGATCCACATCTCACATTTCCTTTGAAAAGTGGTTACACACACCTTTGAACCTATTAAACTAACTGAGAGTGGTTGCTTTACAAAGAGTCTTCCCTTTTATACCCCACTTTCCTATTTTTAACTAGATTTTCATTAAGTATCTAGCTAGTTCAGTGCACTTAAAAGATCTGATTTAGAAACAGCCTTTGGGTGTACATCTATTGTACATATGCACTAGGTTTAATTGTACTCAGTATTTATGCATCCTGTGAGAGGTATGCAGATATTACTGATAAATATCTGAGTGGAATAAAAAATTCAAGCCCCCATGAGGTTTTGAATGATGATAGTGTGATGATGATCAAAAGCTCAAAATCAAAAGATGCCTTTTTCTTTCCTATACTAATAGAATTAACAATTTCACTCAATTAAAGATGTTTTATATTTTTCCTTATTTAAAGCTAACTTTGAATATTTATGTGTGTGGATTTTAATTAATGGAAGATACATTACAGTAAGATCTGTATAGCTCAGAAATACCTGTAGGAGAATGGTGAGACTGAGAGGCTAACCAGGTTGTTAGTTTCATGTCAGTTGGGTGATTTCTTTTACTCTCTGATGCACACTAAAATGAAAGTCTCCAGATCTTAAAATTTCTGGCTGCTCATCTGGCTAAGTTCTATCTTGATCTTGATTTGCATCTGGTTATGTTTTAGGAAGTATTAAAAGACATATGGGAGATAAGCTTCATAACACACTTTTGCTAGTTCAGTGGTGTTTAAAAATAAAATCAAACTGAAGCCACAAGGTAGTATGACTACCATTGATCAGCAACTATTGCTGAATATGTCAAAATTTAAAGTTCATTCCCATTTGACTTGATGGGTTTTCTGAAGGTGAGGAAAGAAAGCAAAAGTGAGAATTCTCATTTTTTGTTTCTACCAACTCAGTTTACTAGAAATGGGATGTAACAGACATTTCCATGTGGGATAATAGGAAGTAATTCAAGTTCACACTCTGAAGAAGAACTTATTATCCTGCACTGAGAACCACATTTTTCTAAAGTTATCTCTTCTTTTTCATGCAGGCTCTCAGAATGGAATCATTTCAGGAAGTAGAGAGTTAGCTTGAAATATGGGCTTGTTTTCTTTCCACTGGATGTGAAATAGGAGTAGCCCTTATATCTTTCCTTGAAGTGAAATAGAGAACAATATTGGAGAATAGAGATTAAGAATTTTGCAGGGCCTTCAACTCATCATAGCCCTGGAGAAGAGATGTCAGTGGAGAATATGTGAGAGAATGATCATGCCAATATTTTGAGCTGGAATGGAAATGTTAATCAGAAAACCAGAGGTGGCCACTTGGCTCATTTATTAGTGCAAGAGGATAAATGCAGGCATTTGTCAAAAACAAGGTTTGAAGAGGGAAGAAAGGTTTCCTGATTAATTCCCAAATTACTTTCCTATTGCTCAAGCATCCCTGGGTAGTCCAGCATGTAAAGTCTCGATTGGTTAGAATATAATTTTGCAATATCCACTTTTCCTTTGGAAATACTTAATGACTCTTGCTTTGTATTCCTTACAGGTGAAAGCCCAGCCTCTGTGGTTCTTAATGCCTCAGCAGGATTATTTTCACTAAAGATGGAAACACTGGAGTCTGAATTGACCTGTCCAATCTGCCTCGAGTTGTTTGAAGACCCCCTCCTGCTCCCTTGTGCTCACAGTCTGTGCTTCAGCTGTGCCCATCGCATCTTGGTCTCAAGCTGCAGCTCCGGTGAATCCATTGAACCCATTACTGCTTTCCAGTGTCCCACGTGCAGGTATGTTATCTCGCTGAACCACCGGGGCCTGGATGGCCTCAAGAGGAATGTGACCCTGCAGAACATTATTGATCGCTTCCAGAAGGCTTCAGTCAGTGGGCCCAATTCCCCAAGTGAGAGCCGCCGGGAAAGGACATATAGGCCCAGTTCCGCCATGTCTAGTGAGCGAATTGCTTGCCAATTCTGTGAGCAGGACCCGCCAAGGGATGCAGTGAAAACATGTATCACCTGTGAGGTCTCCTACTGTGACCGTTGCCTAAGGGCCACACACCCCAACAAGAAACCTTTCACTAGCCATCGCCTGGTGGAACCAGTGCCGGACACACATCTTCGAGGGATCACCTGCCTGGACCATGAGAATGAGAAAGTGAATATGTACTGTGTATCTGATGACCAATTGATCTGTGCCTTATGCAAACTGGTGGGTCGTCACCGAGACCATCAGGTCGCCTCACTGAATGATCGATTTGAGAAACTCAAGGTAAGGGATCTGGAAAATATTCCTTACATGACTTTGACTCTTAACACATTGTTATACAGTTAGCAAGTTCCCTAATAAAATGGATCACTTTTCCTATAGACAACTGAGTGATCTCCAAGTTGTTCTCATGAGCAATAACCTCACCTGCACGCTTTCATATACTTCTGGATAATTCTAGGGGAGTTAGCCCATGGCTCACTCCACCAGTAGTCCATCCAGAGAACCAGCACCCTCTGTCAGTGGCATATTGCACATTGCATATCTTTGCTATGATCTTTCTACCTCTTCTTTTAAGTATGTGAGTGCCTGTGTAGGTGTACTACAATAAGCATATGCACTGATTTGCATGTTTGGGTGTGTCTCTGTGTAGGTGTGGGTGGAGGTGTCTGAGTGTATCTATATAGATGAGAGATTTTTGTGGAGGAAGTTAGCATATGTTTGTGTTTGCATGTTCAGTGCAGTAAAGAAACAAAAGTATTGGGGCTGGGGATGTGGCTCAAGCAGTAGCGCGCTCGCCTGGCATGTGTGCGGCCCGGGTTCGATCCTCAGCATCACACACAAACAAAGATGTTGTGTCTGCCGAAAACTAAAAAATAAATATTAAAAATTCTCTCTCTCTCTCTCTTTAAAAAAAAGAAACAAAAGTATGCTATTGGCCATTACAAATTGTCATTAAGCACTTAACACTGGTAATTCTAAACCTGCCTTAAGAATAAAAAAAAAAACTCAAAACAAACAACAAAAAATTTTAATGCACCACAAAATTAGGAGGGATAATCAAAGACCTGTACTAGCAATTTCAACTAAATGCAATAAATATTTAATTCAGTATTGAATTTTGTGCCAGTGCTTGTTATTGTGGGCTACAGACTGAAGCACTTGTTTGCAGTACCCACCTGGGAAGTTCCAAGTCTTTCATTTGTGTTCAGTGGACAGTGGACAGTTTTCTGAAGTTGTAGCATCTGAAGTTTATGTGCAAGTCAAAGTTCCTATTTTTTTAAAGTCCTCCTACCTCACATTGATGCTAACAAATGTCATATGTATTGTTTTATTCCCATTGCCTGCTATGTGGTATAATTTTTCTTAAGAATGAAGCTACAAAACAAAGATTCCATAAAAATAAAATCTTTAAATGGATAGTACTATTATTACCTCAAAATAGGACCTGAGTACAGAGGCCAAGCTAGAATAAAGAGCTAGATAGGGGCTAGGTGTGGTGGCGCATGCCTGTAATCCCAGTTGCTTGAGAGACTGAGGCAGGAGGATCTCGAATTCAAAGCCAGTCTCAACAATTTATCGAGGAACTAAACAATTCAGTGAGACACTGTCTCTAAATAAAATACAGAGAAGGGGTGGGAGTGTGGCTCAGTGGTTAAGTACATCTGAGTTCAATCCCCAGTACCAAAAAAGAAAGAAAGAAAGAAAGAAGGAAAGAAAGAGCTACATAGCATGTAAGGAGAGCAAGAAGGGAGTGAATATTTTCTTGCTTCCATGTTCTGGGAAATTCTTTCAAACTTATGTAAAATATATAATGTTGATGAGGGTAGCAGTAGTCAGAACAGAACACTTTTTCCCTTCTGTAATTTGTTGTAATTAATATTGAGAGTGGTCACATTGATAATGGTTTGTGCCAATTCAGGTTATTATTTATATCTAATGTGTATAAAATTCAATGTTTATCATTTGATTTCACTCAAAGTGATACTCTCATTCATATCAAGGCAACAGAGGGGGATTATCTCATTGACTTCAGTCCTTAGAATCATAAAATTTTAGTCCTTATATCTGGTCTAGCCGAAATCTTACACTTTAAAGCTGCATAAACTGAGTCTTTGAAAGTTTAAGGGATTTGGCCAAAGTCACAGAATTGTTTAGTAGTAGGAGAGCTGCAACTAAATCTCAGTGTCTAGATCAAATTGACAATTTTTTCCATTGTAGCCTTCTGCCACTTTGTTTTGGATGTATGTTCATGAAATGTGATTTGAAACTTAACTTTATGCTCTAGCAACTGCACATTTCATGGGTCATAGATAAATGATTAGCAGCATCAAAGAAAGGGCATATTATATAAACTTACAACTTCATAGTGGTGATAGATGGCGGTGGGATTGTAGGAAGAATGGGGGATTTGGAGAGGATGGAACAATCTCTGCCAAATATTTGCAGGTGTTAGAACTATAATAAGGCATTGGCCTTGAGAAATTTTCCAAACAAATATCCGTATCCATATGTACTGTTGAGATAACAAAAAGACTGGAGAGAGTAAGCCTGTATCTACTGAACACCAACTATATGAAAACATATGAAAACATTGGATGATTGATTAGACATTTGGCATCATACAGCTATATAACTCTTGTCTCAAGGGATAGAGGAAACATGAAAGTATTTATCAAAAGATGCTTCAGTCTGTGACTAGTCAGTAATTTTTAGAGAAAAAAAGAGCAGATTTTTAATAGTTCCCCTTTCGTTTTTTAGGAAATGTGCAGAAAATTTTGATTATAAATTAAGTGGAAACTATTTTTGCTCATTTTTGGACAGAGAGCGGAAACATATGAATCATTTCCAACTGTGTGGTTTGTTATGTTGTCTGGAACATCTTGGACTTTGGGGAAGAGAAGGAGGTGCTGCTTTGTGTGTGTGTGTATGTGTGGGTGTGTGTATGTGTGTGTGTGTGCGTATGCACACGCTCGTGCTCATGAGTTTGGTGGGGTCATTTTTGTTTGGTGCCAAGTGGAAAATGATATTAGTTCCCCACATTAAGCAGAGAGCAGTTCTGATTTTTAGTGTCATATATACTCACTTCTTTGGGTTAAGTTTAAATTAGAGAAGCATTTAGGATTATCCTCTTAATCTGCTTGATTCCTCCCCAAGGAGAAAAGAAGAAAGCTGGCTAGCAGAAGCTGTGGGGGGGAGACTGTCCGAGCATATTCCCCTGGCCCTGAGAGGGGCAGGGAAGTCCTGTAAGAGGAGAGAGGGAGAAAACTGATTTTATTTATGTATATCTCAAAGAGGTTGACTTTCTGTCCTGTAACTAATACAGTGTTTATTTTTACTTTTCAACTCTGGAGCTTTGTTTTTAGTGTTTATAACTAACTTTTATGTACTAACTTCTCTGATTAAGATTAGTTGTTTCTAATATTTGCTTGTTCAGCAAAGTACAAACAAACCATTATGTTATAGATGAAAGGTTAGAATAACCAGAAGCTGGCTTGTCTTCTTAACATATACTCAAAATGAATTAGAAAGCTTGGGGATACTTACATAGTATCAGGATCTTATTTAGTTGTCTAGTCTGCCTAAAAGATTGAGATGCAGGACACACATCCTTCAAAAGGCTACCAGTGGTTCAATTAATTCTTCAATTTCAAAGGATACTTGTGTTCTTGATAGTTAGTACAGTTGTAAGACCTACAAGAGTAATTATTTTGTTCATTGCTTTTGTTCCTGCTTCTCTTGCTTCTCACTTACTAGTCCCAATATATATCTTAGTTCATGATATGCAGTGCATTTGTATAAAACTATTTTACATTCCAGAATTTTTATCATCCCATGAGTTTCTCCCCTTATCAAAGATTGATATTATAACAATGATTGTTGACTTTATAAAAAGTGGTCAAATGTTGGTGGCTCTCTATTGCTGATAGACCTCAACTTGATACTCTGTCCTATACAACTTGGTTTCTATGCTGCTCATTTATCATTTCCCATTAGTACTCTGAAACATTCTATCTTCATTTACCCTCTTGTCTCTTAAACATCCCATTATCTTTTCTCACTCTTAACTTTTGCTAGTGCTATTCCCTTGGCCTGCTTAGAAATTATACCTATTTTTAGTGCTCAATTAAAACCCTGAAAGTCCACTCCAACGTACCACAGGTACATCCATAAATTCATTGAGATTAGTTTCTTTAGTTCCTCCTTAGTGCTTAGCACACATAGTATGCTTTTGAAATACAAATGAATTGCCACCTCAATGGATTTGCAGGAAGTATACTATTTTCTATAGCTTGCTTTGGTTCTCATCTTAGTGGATATAAATTGGTCTTGCCACTATGAATACTTTTGAGGTCTGAAAAGTCTCCTGTAAACTACTGACAATCTTCAAAACCAGAGTGTTAGCAAAAGTATGGCATGTCCTTAATTTTAAATGCCTATTCATTTTGATTGCTGGATTTTCCAACTGCCTAACCCTATGGTGACATCTGTATAAATCAGATGTGATTATTATAATTCTCTTTGTGAATGATGTCTTCACATTTCCATGCCCACAGCCTGCCAAAACTATAGCTGATGAAAACCAGGGGGAATAGAGGAATTTCCTGAAAGGAATAAACAAGCACATTTTCTTTTTCTCATTACATTTCCACAAACTCATTACTACAAATAATTCTTAAATGAAGTTACATTTACATATGAGGGATCTCGTTGTTATAAAATATTACCTGGCACTGGAGTAAGCATTTTGCCAGTGGGAAATACACACACACACACACACACACACACACACATAAAGAGATTCCAAAACAGAGAGAACCAAAGATTGCCAGACAAAGAAAAAGGAGATATGAGACTTGGAGAATGTTCAAAGGAAAGCCACAACAGGAGTTAAAAGGTTGGAAAATATGATATTCTAGAATCTTATCACAGTTGATTACTTGTCCTTCTTCCTACTCAGTTGCTCTGTCATCCACTTATCCATTCTCACTCAGCTGCCACCTTCTCCCAGTTGTCCACTCACCCACTTGACACTCACTTCTGTTGACAGAGACAGATACCCTCTCAACTTATATATCAGTGGGCATTTGACTATTTCTGAACCAGTATGAGTAGAAGATAAAAGTAAGGAAGAAAAATATCTTTATGAGAGATCAGCTTGAAAGAGGATATATTTCTATACATACGTATACATCATTTTATATGAATGTGTGTATTCTTGCATGAATGAGTGCCTGAGAATGACTCTGTGGCTGTGTATCCTTGTTTCTTTTTGGGGTGTG